AGTACTGCGCTCCCCAGCTTCCCTTGCTGACTACAGAAGTCCTTTTCACTCCTATAAGCAGCTGCATCCCATCTTCCGAAGATATCCCCTCACCATGAATAAACATGGTCTTGCCTAAGGTCAGACTGAACTCTTTCTTTCTACCTAACACCTCTTCAGTTGCTTTTAAATACTCTAAAAGCCTGAGATCATTTGGGGGGAGAATCCCACAAATACCAAGACAAATGGAAAACTCTGCTGATTCAGGACCTGCTGGATGTCTCCAATATCCAATGTCATAGTTCTTCAGTGTATTCAAGAGAATATCAGTTGATTTTCTAGGTAACAAAAGCCCATATTTTCAACGCATAGCTTAGTTCCACTATATAAAATAGTGTCGATGTAATAGTGTGCTAGAGACTACAGTGAGCATTGCCTGAATACTCACCACAGGTAGATATGAAGGTTGGGTTTGAAAACATGCCAACTCTACTCCATTCCAAGTCCTGTTTCACTAAGAGACTCTAGTTCCTGTGTTTGACAGACAAGTGCTGAAAATAGGGGCAAATCGCAGTAGCTTCCAGGGATTCCTTTCCTGCCCTTCAAGAACTCCTTTCAGTGAGTAGTTACACTGAGCAAAGAACAGGGGAAAGGAGGAGCACAAGCCAAGCCCTTCTCTGTGACTGTGCACATCTCCATGTCTCTTTTGCCGTTTCTGTTTCTGAACCAGGAGTTTGTGCCTGAGGTGCTGCCCTGGGGACCTAAAAGTCAGATGAAGGCTCTGCTGTCACAGATGCTCATTTTGTCCAAAGGGAGGCTTTGCCAGGTGTGCCTAACTTTGGATATTGCAGCACAGCATTGTCATTTACAAAGTTTACATGCAGCCCAGAGAGGTGGCTCAGTGGCTAAGAGCCCTTGCTACTCCAGAGGAACAAAGTTCTGTTCCAGGGACATGTGGGAATGAGGGGGTGAGGGATCACAGCTGCCTCTAACTCCAGCTCCAAAGGACCTCAGACCCTTCTGGATTCCAAAGACACCCACATTCATGTACACACATATACAAAATAAATTTTAAAAAGTCTTTAAACAAAACAAAATTTATACACAGAAGCCACACAATTAAGTTACAAAAACATCAGAAAAACATGCCTCAATTAAGCTTGTGAATTTGTGTTGGGCCACATTCATGGCTATCCTGGGCACATGTAATCCCCAGGTTGGACATGCTGACAAGGATGTCCACAACCATAGAAGGGGCCTGGTCTTCAGTTCTTGAGTAGCAGAAGGTTACGACAGCAGGAGGCCTTGAAAGGCTGGCTATTTGTTAAGACTAATGAGTCTATAAACTGAATCTTAATGGAACAGGACTTGGAATGGAGTCGAGTTGACATAAGTCTTCAAACCCAACCTTCATATCTACTTCTGGTGAGTACTCAGGCAAGATTAGGCATGTTCATGGTTTTGCAGGCACAGACTTCAGGTACATATTTAGAAATTCCTCCACTATATCTCTATCTCTGATGTTTTCATTCTTATAAAAATTACAATTGATATCTAAAGTGAGAGAAGCAAACTAGAAACAGTGATATTGTTTGAGAAAATGTCAAGTCAAACACCGTGTAGCACTGAGGAAATGCTGGATAGAGGGTATGGGCACGATGATATCTTAAGTTTATTTTCTGTGGCTAGGACAGAATATGACAGCTTTAAATAATAAACAAAAGATGTTTATTTAGGCCATGGTTCTGGAAGCTGGGATGTCCAGCTGGTGACAGTCTTTGTGTAGTGTGAGAAGTAAAATCAGGCCTAACTCACACCTGATCAGCAGGAACCTGTCCATGATACTGGCATCAACGAGATGGTGAGGGCAGAGGTCTCATCCTAAACCCTTCATTAAAGGTGTCATCTCTTCTCAACATTCCAACCTGGCAGTGAAATAACAATTAACCCTGAACATGAGTTTGCAGAGGACACTCAATCCGTAACAGCTGAGTAAAGAAGAAGAGGCCTGGAGTCACTGCAGTTTTGTAGTGGGGATGAGCGCAGGAGCTCACAAACAGCCTCCCACAAACAAAACACACGGAACAAAAAAAAAAATTAACTTTAGTACTTATTTACTGAAACTACACTATCAACCCAAGCACAGCTCGGATTCTGTAGGAAGCACATTCTAAGACAATGCATGCTAATTCCTTGTGGCTGCTTAACAAATTGCCATATACTCGGAAGTTTAAAACACACAATATATTATCTTACAGTTTTGGAAACCAGAAATCTAAAAAGGAGACTGCAGGATTAAATTTCTTCTGATTCTTGGAGAGAATCACAGGCAAACTTAAAGAGTATTAAAACAGTCTATGTCCCCAAGTTCACACTCACATGTGATGCCCATGTGGCAGCAATATTGGATTCTAGTCTTGAGAGATCCTAAATCCAGAAATGAACACAGTGCTTCCTTCACATATAGAGTCAAAAAATGAGACATAAGCTCTAAAGGAGGACACACACACACACACACACACCACACCACACACTTCACATAGGATTATTTTTTTTCACATAGGATTATTTTTAAGGCTTTAAAAAATATTGTATTCTGAATGGAAAATTTACCAAACTTCATCTGTTCCCATTTTCAGGACCTCCTCCACCCCAATACCTAAGGCATATGCTTAGCCTGCTCCTTGGATAATTCCACAGAGCTTGGGTTTTTCTAACCTGCAGTCAAGCAGTTGAACAAACCCATCTCTAAATATAAACATTTTAGATAGATAGATCAAAAATGAATTCTGAAAGTAATTCACTGACTCCCTCAGTAGCAAAAAATACTTTAGAAGTCTGAGGTATTGCTTTTTAAGCATTATGTTCTTCCATCTTCTAATTTACAAGTGGAGAGAATGGTGGGGAGTTCACCCTGTCCCAGAGAGAGTGGTGGGGAGTTCACACTGTCCAGTGAGAGTGGTGGGGAGTTCATACTGTCCAGAGAGAAGTAGGGCACAGAATACACCTTACTATATACTTAACCTCCTTGGATGTTTTTATTGCCCTTCAGGCATTTATCTGGAGTCTAAGAAGAATGATAAGGTACCTGGGAGAGTAGATTACAGGCCCTGTGGGAGTGGGCACCATGGATGATACTAAACATGAAGCCAGCCTTAGAGCTTTACATTCAGCTCATCACAAACCTCTCAGCAGATGCTGGGTGACAGAATGGTGGGAGGAAGCATAGAAGAAAGTTGTATTGCTTGGCTATATCTCCACACCAACATGGGGATTGTTGGTCCGGAATTTAAACTGTCTGGAGGTTGGCATCAGCACAGTGTTCAGGTACCTCTCTTGTTGCTTTGAATCTACTGACTGCACTGTGCCCAGAGATATGTGTAAAATGTAAATCAGATCCCACAACTCTGCTGATTCAATCCTATTCCACTGAATGGCATGTCCAAGTGTTATTCCCTGCAGGGAAAGGAATATAACTTCTCTGTGCTTGTGGAAGACCCCCCGAAAAAAAAAAGAAGGAAAGAAAGAAAGACTAACAAGAGGGAAAAAAAGCATATTTATTAATATGTGAACATCAGAAGAAAGCTCAAAGCAGTGACTCTAGCTTGGATAGCACTTGCAACAATAACATTTAGAGAGGTTATAAAAGGGGGGGTGAGATTTTGATTTTATATTGACAGCAATGTAGGAAAAGTTAAACACATGGCAGATAAAATAAAGGTTCATTTGTTAACTAAATCACCCTGATGCTGCTGAGGGTCTAAAGCTGTTAGCCTTTGTTGTCTGTGGACTTAAGTTCTGTAAAACAAAACAAAACAAAACAAAACAAAACAAAACAAAAAAACCACATTGGTCTGCAGACCAGTAGATGGAGTAGAATTTCATGGCAGTGGAGAGTTGGAATGTCGCAGATGGATAACCAAATTTCTCCTCTCTTACCTTTAATTGCCATTTGTCACCAACCTCTCTACCTAATCCATCTTTGTGGCTATTGGGTAAACTTTAGGAATAATATAACTGTATGTAAACTTTCACCAACCCAAATCTAAGCAAGTCATCACATGGCATCTGAAACCTATGGAAGAGATAGCTCTGCTTTACCTGCCTACCTGATATATTAAATTCGGACTGTATTTTTATTCTATGATTTATAAATGTTCAACTAACCTCTTCCACAGTGGAACATGTCATTCAGGGAACTTGAATTCGCGTTCCCAAACTATGGCTATTTGGCTCAGAATAAATTCAGTTCTTGTTGACTTTCCCTAGCAAATAAAGGTCTATTCTCTCCAGATAGGGCGGCAAGGACAGGCCCCAAAGAAATCATTCCACCAAAGTCTAGATTTGTGAATCAACAATTTTGATTGGGGTTATTTATACCAGCATGGGTGAAGGATTACCTAAAGGAACTTGGGCAGCTCACACTCAAGATAACCCCACTGAAGAAGTGCTAGTTGCTCCCACCTCATCTTTAGCTCAGCAATCTTTACATTTTGAGAAGACACATTTTCTATGCTCCATAACCCCATGGCCTGTCCTTCCTAATTGCTTCCTTTCTCCCCAACTTTCTCCGCCCCTCTAGCATAGGCCTAGGGTTTCTGTGATTTTGTGCATAATTCCCCCTCTTCCCGTGCATACTGACCTGATCCTCTTCTTCCTGCTCTCAGGGAGCTCTCAGGGAGCTCAAATTTAACACAGAGCCACCACACCACACTCCCTATCACCCGGTTTTGTTTTCTTGTTTCTTTCACTATTATCTAAAACCTTCTTACTCGTTTAGTTACTTTCTGATTTAGTTCCGAATCGTAAAACTGTTCTTATTATTTATTGTGAGCTTCCCAAAAACGATTGGCTGGCGATAGACAGATGGATGAAGGACTGAATGAAGGATTAAAGTGAGAGAACGGCAGGGAGGAGGTTACTAGGTCACTAGAGGGCTGGGTCTGTGCAGCTCCGCGTCGGAACCCGAGGGCAGCGGTAGCGGTTTCCCTTAAATGAGAGGGAGGGTTTTGTGAGCGCACACAGGAAAGGCTGGGCGCTGAGCAGCGGGCAGCGGTGAGTTCGGCGAGCGAGCGCGGGCCGGAGGGTGTGTGTGGCCAGGGTGTGGGGTGCTGCCGCGGTTTGCTACGCTGAGCAGGGCGTCCGGGGAACCGGCCTGGCTTCCCGGGATCCGCCACTCGGTTGCTGGCTGCGGCGCGGCGGAAGGAAGGGAGATTGGGCCGGGCCGGCTTGGCGCGCACGCCCGTGGTCCCTGCGAATTAGATGTGCTGGTTCGAGTCCCAGAGCTGTCCCTAACCTGTGCCTACGCACCCCCCCACCCAGTCACTTTCCTCCTTGGGCTGTGGGGTACCCTGGAACAAAAACGGGGCCAGGAGTATTGGAACCCTAGAGGGTGGGTCGGTTCGTTCATTCTGTTTACTAGGGTCTGCTGATGTGGATGGCTAGAACTGACCCAAGGTTTTCTCCTTTAGTGAGAAAACCCCTACCTTCCTTGTCAGGAGAGGGCTCAAAGTTAGAATTTGGGGTTTTGGGAGCTTATGGGTTGGGGAAGAACCTGCTGGGAGGCAAAGATATGTTAATGTAGACAAAATTGAGATTTTAACTGACATTAATGAGAATGAAAATTCTGGCTCCTGAGATGGGAATATATACACTGTGAATATAGTACATATTGTGAAGGCAACTAATACGGAAAAATGTACAGATTTTACTCACAACCCCTTCGCAGCCAAATTAAGTAATTTGATAGTTTTTTTTTTTTTTTTCCTAGTGAAGAAGTTAATTGACTTGTCCAGGATCTCACCCCCTGTAAGTAACAACGCTAGGATTTTGTTAGGCACCCGGGCCAGTTCTATTTGCACACTAGGCTGCCTTCGTATTTCCCTCATCTTTTAACAGAGGAATCGTTTATGACAAAAAGGGAGTTGCCTAGGGTAGGAGTGGCGTTTAAAAAGACAGTCCATTCAGAGTGTCCTCACCTTTCAGGCACTCTTTCCATGCTAGTCTCCACTTCCATGGTTTGAGCAACCCTCATCCGTTAACTTTCACAGACATGAATCCCAGTTCTGCAGCTTGTGTTCAGTTTCTCCTATTTCCAGACAACTAAGGCAAGACATCTGTTCGGGCTTTGTTGGAGTGTGCGCAGCAGGTATAGGGGTCTAGAGTCTCCTTAACTGCCCACTATGCTTTTCCACAAACTTAACAAAATAAATCCAAGGGCTTGAAACCACCTTCCAGTCTGTTGCCCAAGCACATAGCCTGGCTTGTCTTCTCATCCCTCAGCTGGTCTCCAAGTGCTGCCCATTGCTATTTTATAAAGACCTCCAAATCCTTTATTGACATTTGTTTAGAAATTACGGCATCCACCCATCTAATGGCTCCTCTAGCTTTACTCTCAGGTTCTCACAGTCTTTAGACTCTGCAGCTCAAATACGATTATGTCATTCATCTGCTAAAAACAAACAAACAAACAAACAAAAAAAAACAACAAAAAAAACTCTTGTTTTTCTTAATTGTCTTCAACATAATATCCAAAGTGCTTAGTGTAGATTCAAAGTCTTTTCAAATGTGCCTGCCGCCTCATGGTTTGTCTTTAAAGTCTGGTGTGTTTGCCACCTCCCTTACAGCTACAGTAGTAACTGCTAACTAAAACGAGATGACTACGCAGATCTAGAACAAAGGAGGCTTTGAAGAAGGGAGGTAATAACCAAGAATATACATTTCCAACAAATTTTGTGCATTTTAATTAGGTTTAATGAGGACACTAAGGGCTGAGAACCAGTGTCTTAGAAGCCATCCCATACATAAAGTCTATTGATGGTACATATGGCATGGTAATCCCCAAAGTAGTACATTGGCAGTAGAGGAAACAGTAGAAGCAGGAAGTTGTTGCTGTTCTAACCTGAAGCAGACTTCCTGTATAAGGCTTTCATGTGAGAGGTGCCTGTGTTATGCATGCAGGAAAAAAGTATTTTCATTTCTTAAGATGAAGGGACAGAGAAGATCCCGAACAAACAGACCTTGCTGGTCATTGTCTTTAAGTCATTACACCTTGTTCAGTCATGTTTCTGTACAACTTTCTATTCTTCATCAAATTTTACATACATAGGGTTTTATTTCTGAAAGTTCTCTGTCATGTAAAACTCACATTAGATAGACTTATATGCTTTTTTTCCTTGCTAATATGCTTTTTGTTACAGGAGTCTCATTCTTAGTCATGGGTGAGAAGAGAAATTACTTCTTCAGTCTGTTGCCTACCTGTGTTTTTCAAAACACATCTATCTTACGTATCCTATCTACCTATCATCTAATAGCCTTTGTGTAACACATATACACACATTTAGCCTTCGTATATTTCTTAGTTCAAGTTTATAACTGGGATGGCTTACATAATAAAAAGTTTATTTCTCACAGTGTGAGAGAAGTATGAACTGGAAGTATGAACCCAAGATGGTTGGCACTGGGTGTGGTACCCTCTTCCTAGTTTGCAAATAGCTGTCTTGTTGCTGTGTTTTCATATAGCAGGTTGAGTTGGAAGGGATATGAGGCCACCTTGCTGGTGTCTTTTCTTAGAGAGCGGTGCTAATCCCATTTCAGTGGGAATTAGGGCAGCTCCTTTCAAGTTTTGGAAAGATGTCCAGGTGATTGCATGTCCTAACCCGTTTTCTCTGTTACTTGTAATCTGCAGGACTCTGAGAATGTCCTGATTGTCTGGCCCTTTCACACTCATCGCAGTTAGGCCCATTTTTGTGGACTTAAGGTAGATCTGTTCTCCTTCCCCAGCACTTACATTATTGTGTTGCAACTTTGCTTGTGTGGTTGTATCGCAGGTAGGGATTTAATGATAATAAGCATTTGAGAGAGGGACTTACTCGTCCCTGCTCTGGCTCTTAACACAGAGCAGGTGTTGTCTGCTAAAGAGCTCTTGAATGAATAAGTGTTTAGGGCCAGCTGGAGAAAGGTCAAGAACTACATGAACCTTTGGAACTTTTTTGTACTAGCCTAAATGGCTTCACTGATGTCTGCAGTGTGGCAGTTTCTTCATAGGAAAGGGATTTTAGTCAAAGAAAGGTAAAGGGAGAAATAGTTTTTATCTATTTGGATAATAACGTCTATTTATTTTAGAAAAGTTGGCATTGCATATATATTGCAATTTTGAGAGGTCATTTACCATCCTATAATTTAGAGGAAATGATACTGAAGTTCTGCTTTTGTTTATTTTTATTTTTATTGATAGTCTTATTGGAATATAATTGGTATAATGCTAGTTGTAGATGCCTTTTTACCCTGCTAATTTTATTTAACATTGTATTTTGTCTTGTTTTCTCCATCTGTGACTCAATTAAAAAATTGAATTTCTACGTGACTTGCTCACTTAATAGATGTTTTTGGAATAACTATTATGTGCCAGGTCTTACTTGATGTATAGGATCTAGCAGTGAGCACAACTCTACATTCATGGAGTTTATTCCAGTAGGATAAGCTAAGTGACATGTTAGTAAATGTAAATATCATCAAATGGTGCCGTACAAACACAGAATAAACATTATGCCACTTTTTATAAAGAGCTAATTTACTTTCCTTACAAGAGTAGGTGAAAGTGTCTTGTTGTATTTTGTGATCAGTGAATATGATACTTTAAAACTGATTTTATATGTAAATAGTAATAGCTTTGTAATTTGCATGCCTTTGATTAATAAGTTGAACATTTTGTTTTTTTACTTAGCCATGTGCATTCTTTTTTTAAAATGCATGTTCTCCACTGATGTTCATATTGAAGACAGTGTTTTCCTGTTTTGAATAAGCTATTGCTGGCATTTTGGGTTCCTCATGTATGTAATGGACAAACACTCAACAGTGGTATAGTAGGACAGTAAGAGGACGGGTATCAGAGGAAGCCTGGAAATTGATTCCACCCTTTCTGACCTCCTCCTTTCTTCTAATATGGATAAGGAAAGGTGATTGGATTTGGAAGAAGGAGAGTCAATGTAGAATACAGGAATGAAGAAGGAAGATTGGTGAATGGATGAGAAGATGCTGATGATGAGACTAGAAAGGAAAAAAAAAAAAAAAGAATAACCCAGAGAAGTGGCAAAGAGAAATCAAGAAAAGGAAAAAGGGGGAGGAGAAGACCATAAAGGAACAGATAATAGAATGTTCCATGATTATCTTGGATAACTTTTTTTTTCCCCTTTTTCTGTCTATCAGATCTGTAGGAGAAGATGACTGCTTTCTTTAAAACACTTAGAAATCATTGGAAGAAAACTACAGCTGGGCTCTGCTTGCTGACATGGGGAGGTCACTGGCTCTATGGAAAGCACTGGTAAATATTGACAGCCGCTACACCATCTGCATCCCACTATAGAACAAGATAGGAGCTGGGTTGAAATCTTGTTCAGCTGCCCTTGTCTGTATAATACAGTGGTTAAACAAAATTATTCAACCAAAAAACAAAGGCAAAGCTTCTTGTTACCTGCCCTATGTAATTAACTATGTGAAGCACTAGCTGTAACACTCACACATCAACGCAGATAGTTAGTGAAGTTGGAAAGAAAGCAAGTTTTACTCACTGTATTTGGAATTGAAGAAATTGAGACCAATTCTGGACAGTCCTCTCCCAAGTAAGTAGTAAGTTGAAATTGTAGCTCACATATCTCCTTGGGATTGTTGTTTTTACTATGGTCTCTATCTGTCATCCCCTGTTTGCTGGATGATACTTTTTGGCTCTGCTTTTTCCATTTCCTGTAACTGTCTTCATCTATTTCATTAGACTGGGTTAATTTAAATGAGATCACAGATTAGCACCCTTTGTGTTTGAATAAGGAATTCAGTGTAATCATGTGTTATATCAGACTCAGACATGACAGGAGAAGAAAGTACCAGATCTTTTATTCTGGCTCTCAGGAGTCTATACTGCCTTTGCTGAGCCTCTAAGGCACACTGATGCCATCTCGTTGGGGGTTTCTTTGCCCTTGTCAGGTGAAGCTCCAAAGAGCTCACTGTGTTCCTTTTTCAGTATGTCTTCAGAGGTCCTCTGATATTTCCTGAAATCTTAAGACTTTTTAAAATTAATTATTTTTATTAATTACAATTTATTCATTGTTTCCCAGCTGTAGCCCCCTCCCTTGTCCCCTCCCAGTCTTACCCTTCCTCCGTCTTCTCCCATACCCCTGCCCCAGTCCACTAATAGGGGTGGTCCTCCTCCCCTTCTATCTGACCCTAGCCTATCAGGTTTCATTAGACTGGCTTCTTTGTCTTCCTCTGTGGCCTGGTAAGGCAGTTCCCCCCTTAGGGGGAGGTGATCAAAGAGCCAGCCATTGAGTTCATGTCAGAGACAGGCCCCTGTTCCCCTTACTGGGAATCCACTTGGACACTGAGCTTCCATGGGCTACATATGTGCAGGGGTCCTAGGTTGTCTCCATGACTGGTCCTTGGTTGGAGTATTAGTCTCAGAAAAGACCCCTGGGCCCAATTTTTTTGTTTCTGTTGCTCTCCTTGTGGAGCTCCTGTCCCCTTTAGGTCTTTCTATCTCCCCCTTCTTTTATAAGATTCCCTGAACTCTGCCCAAAGTTTGGCTATGAGTCTCAGCATCTGCTTTAATACCCTACTGGGTAGAGTCTTTCAGAGGCCCTCTGTGGTAGGCTCCTGTCCTGTTCCCTGTTTTCTCCTTCTTCCGATGTTCATCCTGCTTGCCTTTCTGAGTGAAGATTGATCATCTTACCTAGGGTCCTCCTTGCTTATTTTCTTTAGGTGTATAGATTTTAGTATGATTATCCTATATTATGTGTGTAATATCCACTTATAAGTGAGTATATACCTTGTGTGTCTTTTTGCTTCTGGGATACCTCACTCAGGATGATCTTTTCTAGTTTTAAAAGGCCCTTTAGTTCTCCAGCATGAAGAGGCCTCACCCTGAACGGGTTTGACAGCCTTTATGTTTAATTTTGTGTAATAGTAAGGTCTAGCCTCACTCTTTTACATGTGGGTATCTGGGCTGGCACCATTAATAGAAAAGTGTTCTTTTTCGGCTGTGTGGTTCTGGGAGTTTGTTGGAGATGTTTTGACCATATACAATGGAGCTTTATTTCTAGGCTCTCTGTTCTGTTTCATTGGCCTGTGTATATGTCTGTATTCCTGAACCACATTATTTTGATTAAGATAGTCTGGTAAGAATTTGTGAAATTAGGAGATGAGAAGCTTTGAACCTTCTTCTTTTTCTAGATTATTTTGGCCATTCAGGCTATTTGAGATTCCATATCGATTCTGTGGTGGCATTTTTCTATTTCTGCAAAAAGTGCCATTGGATTTTTACAGGGATTGCATGGAATTGGTAGCCTGCTTTGTGTTGTGGCTATTTTAACAGTGTTGTCTTCCAGTCCATGAGCACAAATGTCTTCCTGTTTGTGATGTTAGTGAACATTATCTCTCATATGCCTAAATTTATTTCTAAATATTTATTCCTTTTGATCTTCTTGTGTGATTGATTGCTTAATTTCCTTTATGCATTTTTCAATCAGTGCATGGAAATGCAGCTTGTTTGTTAATCCTTTTTTATCTGGCAGCTTTGATAAAGTTGTTTGATGGTTCTAATATTTTTTTTATGTGTTTGGGTGGAGCCATTTTGGTGTTCTATATAGAAGATCATGTATTTGTAAAGAGAGATAATTTCCTTTCCACTTATTTTAGATGCATTTTATTTCTTTCTTGTCCTCCTTTTCCCTTCATTTCTTTATCCTCCAACCCTCAGCTCACTTGGGTCTTTTTATGTAGCCTAGGCTGGCTATGAACTTAGGATATTACTGCCTCGGCCTTCCAAGTGCTGGGATTATAGGTGAGTGCCACTACTTGACACTGGTAATTTATTTTCTTCCATATTTCTTGGAATCATTTCCCCTTTTACCTATACTGCCTGGCCTTGCAGTCTCATATGTCCCCCCTTACCACAGCTGGAAATATTTCTTCACAGCTGGAAATATTTTCTCTCTGTCCTGCCTTCCAGACTTCTGCTTCCCTTTCCCTCTCTGCTTCTTATCCTCTGTGACCTCTTTCTTTCAAGAATGAGGGGCGAGTTCTCTGCCCTAGGTCCTCTTGTGTTGTCATACTCTTCCCCGAATGATTTCACCTGTGCATACTGTCTTCTGTTACAACTCTAGGTGTCCAGTCCCACCCAGGTTTTTGTTTGTCTCTGTAAAGACGTCTTCTGAGACCCAGTCTTAAATGTGTGTTCCAGTGCTGCTTTGGCTAGAATGAGATGGTCTTGAGTGGCATAGTCTTGTGGTATTTGAACACTGGATCTTCAGTTGGTGGTGCTGTGTGGGAGGTGTGGCCTTGCTGGAGGAAATATGCCACTAAGGGTGAGCTTTGAAGTTTAAAAGACTCATGCTATTCCTACTTTGCTTTCTGCTTCCTACTTGTGGGTCAGGGTATGAGCCCTCAGTTTCCTTCTGCCCCATGCCTTTGCTCTGCCACCATGGACTCTGAAACTCTGGAAGCATTAGTCCACTTTAACCTTTCTTTTTATAAGTTGCATTGGTCATGGTGTTTTATCACAGCAATAGAAAAGTAACCCATACAAATATTAATCTTAGGATGCTTTCGAGGTATCTCTGACTCAGCATCCTAAAAACAAAAATCCTGCTTGACCTGCTCCTCAGTTATTGGCTATACTCAGGATCCATTTTACTTTGCTAGATATTTGGATATTCTCTGTTCCTTCTTATCCACATTTCTCATATCTTGTACATAGATTCTCAATTATTTTAGAGTTTCCTAATGTGTTCTGTTTCTTTTGTCTGCCCCACTGTCACCATCTTCATCTGTAGTGCCCTCCTTGTATGGATTCTTATTAGCTTCCCAGCTTTTTGACTGTTTCTGTTTTGCACACCATTGCCATGCTGTTGTTTTTCAAGTGAAGAATGCTGTTGCTTTTTGACTCAAATCCCAAATTTTTACCAGCAGTGTATGAACTTGATCTCATTTGCATATATCCCTAACCTTGCTGTATTCTACATTTTGGCATTTGGCCTTCAGGTCTTCTCAAGTGATGTTTCGGAGAAACATAAGAATCCTGAAAGGGCTTTTGCATATGGTATTCTTCTCTGAGCAACTTAAGTTTCTCCAAGTCTTAAATACTATCTTTTCAACGAGATCTTACCTCTGTGATCTAGATTAGGCAATCTTCCTACATTTTCTCCATAATGCTATGAAATCTTTGTATATAAAACACTCATTTCTTGTCGGTCCAGTGAGATGGCTTAGTGCGTAAAGTGCTTACTGTGCAAACATGAGGATCTGATTTGGGATCTCTGACACCCACATAGGAGTTAGTTATATATGCCAGTGTGCACCTATAACCCCATCTTTGGATTTGTGGAGACAAGACAATTTCTGGAGCTTACTGGCCAGCCAGTCTAGAGAAAACTGTGAGTTCCAGGTTCACTGAGAGACCCTGTTTCCAAAAAAGAAGGTGTAGAATGATAGAGGAAGACACTCAACATCAGCCTTTGCCCTCTGCAAGTACCTACACAGGGGAGCACACCCATACAAATGTGTAAACACACACACACACACACACACACACACACACACACACACACGTAAAACCACTCACTGCTATTGTGATGATTTGATCTGCTGTGTCTTCTCTTAGCATACTACTGTGTAGACTTTGTCTTGCACAATATTGTCCCAAAGCCCATGCACATCAGAAGGACACAATGCACATTTTGTTTATTGGGGAGGAAGCACAGGAGCAGATGAAAGGAGAGGGTAAGAAGCAAAGCAACAACTCCTTTGGCCCCTTGGGAACTCACACATCTAGGCTGCTGAATCCCTCTAACACAAGTAATGTACTCCATCTATAGTCAGGTTCCTCTTCCATTGTTCACAAATGTATCTTGAAATATTCATGAATTTTTGTTTCATCCTCTGCCTTCTCTATACTGAGACAACCTTAACTTACATTTTAAAGAAAATTAAAGACCACAGCACGGTTATTCACACACACACTTTTGTGTTCTTTCCTTCAGTGGACGAGACAACCATCCTGCTGCCCAAGGCCAGTCATTCTGCCCCTCCTTTGTGCCTGCCTGTCATCATCTACATCTTCATTTATGTCCTTGATCTTAGACTTCTGCTTCTTCTTTGTTGATCACAATTGTTCTAAACTTAAACATGTCTTCACTCAAGTGACAATTCCATTTATTTCTCTGCCTGTCTTTTCATTTATGCCAGTTTTTAATGGTTTCCTCTCAACCCTTTCTGCCATTTTAAAACCACGTTAGTAAAATTTGGTTTATACTCCATCATTTGATTGAGCATTCT